ATCAGTAGCCCTATCAGCAGCCAGCAGCAATAGATCCTTTCCTCAAAAGTAAATCCCTCCCAGCAACAAAATACCCCCTCCCCCACAACAATTGATCTGCCAGCAGCCTGCATCAGCAGCCAGCAATAATAGATCCCTACCTCAACAATAGATCTCCCAGCAGCTAGCATCCGTAGCCTTTTCAGTAGCCAGCAATAATAGATCCCTACCTCAACAGTAAATCCCTCCCAGCAACAATAGACCCCCCCAGCAAACAACAAAAGATCCCCCCCAACAATAGACCCCCAGCAACAACAAAAGACCCCCCTCCCCCCACAACAATAGTTCTCCCAGCAGCTAGCATCAGTAGCCCTATCAGCAGCCAGCAATAATAGATCCCTCCCTCAACATTAAATCCCTGCCAGCGAAAATATATCCTCCGAGCAACAACAATAGACCTCCACAACAATAGATCCTCCCAGCAACAATAGATCCTGCCGGCACCAATAAACCCCCAGCACCCCTTGCCCTTACATACATCCATTGTTGGAGGTGCTGAAACTGTTCCCCCGTATTCCCGCTTAAATAACCCCCCCCCCCCCTCCCCCCCCCAGAAGTTTATTCCGAAAATGAGTACCACTCAATAAACGGCAGCGGTGTCAGATTTGGTGTCGGTGATCGTTAACACCACAAGATTGTGTTTCCTGATGTCTGTGAGATACTTTCCTGCACCCACCGGGTCATTTCCTAGAAAAAAGTTTGTAAATGTAAAGACAAAAAATAACTGCCATTTACCCTCTTCTTACCTTTCCTGTGTGATGTAGAATGTGACGGAGCGAATGTGTCATTGGTGTCAGAGAATGTAACATTGGCCTTATTACACATACAGCCAATGAGGCGTAAAGCGGTTGTAATCCTCAGACATGAAATATGAACAAAGCACATCCCTCTAGGGCAGTGATGGCGAACCTTTGTGAGCCCGAGTGCCCAAACTGCCACCCAAAACCAACTTATTTCTTTCAAAGTGCCAACACTGCAATGAAACCTGAATATCGAGCTTTTGGTTTAGAAAAAACAACTCGTACAGTAGTGCAAACTAATTAACAGTACAGGGATGACCAGAGACTGCGGACAGTACAGGGATGACCAGAGACTGCGGACAGTACAGGGATGACCAGAGACTGCGGACAGTACAGGGATGACCAGAGACTGCGGACACAGTACAGGGATGACCAGAGACTGCGGACACAGTACAGGGATGACCAGAGACTGCAGACACAGTACAGGGATGACCAGAGACTGCGGACAGCACAGGGATGACCAGAGACTGCGGACAGCACAGGGATGACCAGAGACTGCGGACAGCACAGGGATGACCAGAGACTGCAGACACAGTACAGGAGATGACCAGAGACTGCGGACAGTACAGGGGTGACCAGAGACTGCGGACACAGTACAGGAGATGACCAGAGACTGCGGACACAGTACAGGAGTGACCAGAGACTGCGGACAGTACAGGGATGACCAGAGACTGCGGACAGTACAGGGATGACCAGAGACTGCGGACAGTACAGGGGTGACCAGAGACTGCGGACACAGTACAGGGATGACCAGAGACTGCGGACAGTACAGGGATGACCAGAGACTGCGGACAGCACAGGGATGACCAGAGACTGCGGACACAGTACAGGAGATGACCAGAGACTGCGGACACGGTACAGGGATGACCAGAGACTGCAGACAGTACAGGAATGACCAGAGACTGCGGACAGTACAGGGATGACCAGAGACTGCGGACAGTACAGGGATGACCAGAGACTGCGGACACAGTACAGGAGATGACCAGAGACTGCGGACACAGTACAGGAGATGACCAGAGACTGCGGACAGTACAGGGATGACCAGAGACTGCGGACAGCACAGGGATGACCAGAGACTGCGGACAGCACAGGGATGACCAGAGACTGCGGACAGCACAGGGATGACCAGAGACTGCGGACAGCACAGGGATGACCAGAGACTGCGGACAGCACAGGGATGACCAGAGACTGCGGACAGCACAGGGATGACCAGAGACTGCGGACAGCACAGGGATGACCAGAGACTGCGGACAGCACAGGGATGACCAGAGACTGCGGACAGCACAGGGATGACCAGAGACTGCGGACAGCACAGGGATGACCAGAGACTGCGGACAGCACAGGGATGACCAGAGACTGCGGACAGCACAGGGATGACCAGAGACTGCGGACAGCACAGGGATGACCAGAGACTGCGGACAGCACAGGGATGACCAGAGACTGCGGACAGCACAGGGATGACCAGAGACTGCGGACAGCAGAGGGATGACCAGAGACTGCGGACACAGTACAGGAGATGACCAGAGACTGCGGAAAGCACAGGGATGACCAGAGACTGCGGACAGCACAGGGATGACCAGAGACTGCGGACAGCACAGGGATGACCAGAGACTGCGGACATAGTACAGGAGATGACCAGAGACTGCGGACAGCACAGGGATGACCAGAGACTGCGGACAGCACAGGGATGACCAGAGACTGCGGACAGCACAGGGATGACCAGAGACTGCGGACAGCACAGGGATGACCAGAGACTGCGGACAGTACAGATGACTGCTGACCTTTGGGGAGGGGGGGGAGCGGGTACCTGAATTTGACAGGTACCCGCTCTTACTTCCGAGGAGTTGTTCTTTGATCTTACCTGTTCCTTTATCCAGCCGCGCGTTGTCTTCCCGGCTTCTGTAGTGTGGGCGCTCGTCGGACAGCCGGATGCCCAGTGCGCATGCGCGAGAAGCGCTGCGCTTTGTGATTGGTCCGGCGGCTTCTGGGATCTGTCATGTGTCCCAGGTACCGCCTTACCATTCACAAAGAGCACTGCAGCATTCACTGCATGCGCACTTGGGACCCGGCTGTCACGCACACTACAGCCGGGAAGACAGCGCGCCGCTGGATAGAGGGACAGGTACGGTCCCACTGCAGAGCTGAGCGGCCGGCCCGGTATTCTGACACGGCCGCGGTGGAAATACCGGACCGGCCGCTCTATATTCGCTCCATAAGACGCACTGACATTTTCCCCCCTTTTTTGGGGGAAAAAAAGTGCGTCTTATGGAGCGAAAAATACGGTATTCTCCTGGCGTGCCCACAGATAAGGCTCGGCGTGCCGGTTGTGGCACGCGTGCCACGGGTTCGCCATCACTGCTCTATAGTGTGTCCTTGTTTCAGTCCAGAGCACTGAGTGCCATATCTGTCTGCTGCCTCCTTCCCCTGCTATCAGCATGAGTCACCTCTGACAAGTTTCCCTGACACCAAGAGATAAAAAAGTGACAGGAGAGGGAGCTCCAGCACAGAGGCGTCCCTAGGGTTGGTGTCACCTGGTGTGGTAACACCCCCTCCGACGATCCCCGGAGGATGGATTGGACCTGCGGATTGGGGAGCATAATGGATCGGAGTCCGACCTATTATGCTCAATCCTCAGATCCGATCCATCCTGCGGGGATTGTCGGCTTGCTTTTCAACTTACCTTTTCGTGGAGCGGGTCCGGTGTCACCCCGTATAGGTTGCATCCCGACAATCCCCGCAGGATGGATCAGATCTGCGGATTGGGGAGCATAATGGATCGGACTCTGACCTATTATGCTCAATCCGCAGATCCGATCCATCCTGCGGGGATTGTCGGGATGCAACCTATACGGGGTGACACCGGACCCGCTCCACGAAAAGGTAAGTTGTAAAGAAAGCTGACGATCCCCGCAGGATGGATCAGATCTGTGGTTCAGGGAGCATAATGGATCAGACTTCGACCTATTATGCTCAATCCGCAGATCCGAAACATCCTGCGGGGATCGTCAGCTTGCTTTTCAACTTACCTTTTCGTGGAGCGGGTCCGGTGTCACCCCGTGTGGTCAGTGTCACCCGGTGCCGGCCACACCCCCCGCACCTGCCTCGGGACGCCACTACTAAAGCACACAGCCTGTGATTGACAGCCTCAGCTCTGTACCTGTGTACTGTGTGAAGGAGGGTGTGTCCCTTTCCTCCAATAAGCTCTCAGAGCTCTTGCAACTTCGGCTGCAGCCCCCTGCTTTCAGAGAAGGCTACAGATAAACTGGTACAACGTATGTAGGAGGATTTTTTTTTTTTTCATTTCTGTGTATCACCTGAGGCCGGTCACAAGGGTTTACAACCACTTTACATTTCCCATTGAGGAATGGCAAATCCAGGTTTTCAAAGCAGTGTGTACGGGTGGATGTTGTATGTAACGTGTCTGGAGATGTTGTGTGTAACGTGTCTGGTGATGTTGTGTGTAACGTGTCTGGAGATGTTGTCTGTAACGTGTCTGGAGATGTTGTCTGTAACGTGTCTGGTGATGTCGTATGTAACGTGTCTGGAGATGTTGTCTGTAACGTGTCTGGAGATGTTGTCTGTAACGTGTCTGGAGATGTTGTCTGTAACGTGTCTGGTGATGTCGTATGTAACGTGTCTGGAGATGTTGTATGTAACGTGTCTGGAGATGTTGTGTGTAACATGTCTGGAGATGTTGTGTGTAACGTGTCTGGAGATGTTGTGTGTAACGTATCTGGAGATGTTGTGTGTAACGTGTCTGGAGATGTTGTATGTAACGTGTCTGGAGATGTTGTATGTAACGTGTCTGGAGATGATGTATGTAACGTGTCTGGTGATGTCGTATGTAAGGTGTCTGGAGATGTTGTCTGTAACGTGTCTGGAGATGTTGTGTGTAACATGTCTGGAGATGTTGTGTGTAACGTGTCTGGAGATGTTGTGTGTAACGTGTCTGGAGATGTTGTGTGTAACGTGTCTGGAGATGTTGTCTGTAACGTGTCTGGAGATGTTGTCTGTAACGTGTCTGGAGATGTTGTCTGTAACGTGTCTGGAGATGTTGTCTGTAACGTGTCTGGAGATGTTGTCTGTAACGTGTCTGGAGATGTTGTGTGTAACGTGTCTGGAGGTGTTGTATGTAACGTGTCTGGAGGTGTTGTATGTAACGTGTCTGGAGATGTTGTATGTAACGTGTCTGGAGATGTTGTCTGTAACGTGTCTGGAGATGTCGTCTGTAACGTGTCTGGAGATGTCGTCTGTAACGTGTCTGGAGATGTTGTATGTAACGTGTCGGTAATGATCTGCTTAATCGTTATTAAGGTTTAAAAGCTTCTCTAGAAAGACTTCAGCTAGAATATGTGGATGTTGTGTTTGCTAACCGGCCCGATCCCAACACGCCCATGGAAGGTAAGACGTCCTCCATTTACTGGAAGCTTCTAGAACAAGAGTACCATGGGGATCATGTCACAGGAGGCTGAAGAGACGCATAGGGGTCAGTTCACCAAAACAGAACACGTGCCGCATGCTCATCAACTGGCTCTGTCTGCTCATTTGAGACATTGAAATCGCATTTCCAACGATCGACTGGCCACGGCTTACAGGTCACCCACACGTGGAACTTCTTATGGTTTAGCAATGTGATGTCCAGAGAAGAGGGCAAAAAAAGCAGCCAATTCAGAGGGTGAGAAAATGCAAAAACACACAATGGTCCAAACCATGGCTGGATCTAGGGGGGTGCTGGGGTGGGCTGTGCCCCCCCACCCCAGATTTTATTTGTGCCCCCCCCAAGCCAACCCTAACCTGCCGCTATACTACCCTAACCTGCCACTTTGCATCACTGACTCCTGACCCCTGATCTCTCCATCATTGACTCCTGACCCCTGATCTCTCCATCATTGACTCCTGACCCCTGATCTCTCCATCATTGACTCCTGACCCCTGATCTCTCCATCATTGACTCCTGACCCCTGATCTCTGCATCGCTGACTCCTGACCCCTGATCTCTGCATCGCTGACTCCTGACCCTGATCTCTGCATCGCTGACTCCTGACCCCTGATCTCTGCATCGCTGACTCCTGACCCCTGATCTCTGCATCGCTGACTCCTGACCCCTGATCTCTGCATCGCTGACTCCTGACCCCTGATCTCTCCATCATTGACTCCTGACCCCTGATCTCTGCATCGCTGACTCCTGACCCCTGATCTCTGCATCGCTGACTCCTGACCCCTGATCTCTGCATCGCTGACTCCTGACCCCTGATCTCTCCATCATTGACTCCTGACCCCTGATCTCTCCATCATTGACTCCTGACCCCTGATCTCTGCATCACTGACTACTGACCCCTGAACTCTGCATCACTGACCCCTGAATTACTGATTACAGACCTCTGAACTCTGCATCATTTACTCCTGACCCCTGAATCACTGACTCCTGAACCCTGCATCACTTACCAATGACCCCTGAACTCTGCATCACTAACTCCTGACCTCTGCATTACTTACTCCTGACCCGTGAACTCTGCCTCACTGTGTCCTGACCCCTGAATTCTGCCTCACTCCTGACCCCTGAACTCTGCATCACTTACAACTGACCTCTGCCTACCTTACTGCTGATTCCTGAACTCCGCATCACTGTGTCCTGACCTCTGAATCACTCCTGACCCCTGATCTCTGCATCATTGACTCCTGACCCCTGAACTCTGCCTCACTTACTCTTGACCCCTGAACTCTACCTCACTCCTGACCCCTGAATTCTGCATCACTCTTGACTCCTGATCTCTGCATCACTTTACTAATGACCTCTGCCTACCTTACTACTGACTCCTGAACTCCGCATCACTGTGTCCTGACCTCTGCATCACTGACTCGACCCCTGAACTCTACCTCACTGTGTCCTGACCCCTGAACTCTACCTCACTGTGTCCTGACCCCTGAACTCTGCCTCACTTCTGACCCCCTGAACTCTCCATCACTGTGTCCTGACCTCTGAACTCTGCATCACTTACTCCTGACCCCTGAACTCTGTCTCACTCTTGACCCCTGAACTCTCTCACTCTTGACCCCTGAACTCTCTCACTCTTGACCCCTGAACTCTCTCACTCTTGACCCCCCTGAACTCTCTCACTCTTGACCCCTGAACTCTCTCACTCTTGACCCCTGAACTCTCTCACTCTTGACCCCTGAACTCTCTCACTCTTGACCCCTGAACTCTGCATCACTTACTACTGACCTCTGCCTACCTTACTACTGACTGACTCCTGAACTCCGCATCACTGTGTCCTGACCTCTGCATCACTGACTACTGACTCCTGAACTCTGCATCGCTGACCCCTGATCTCTCCATCATTGATTCCTGACCCCTGAACTCTACCTCACTGTGTCCTGACCCCTGAACTCTGCCTCACTCCTGACCCTGAACTCTGCCTCACTTACTCCTGTCCCCTGAACTCTGCCTCACTTCTGACCTGTGAACTCTGCATCACTGTGTCCTGACCTCTGCTTCACTGACTACTCTGTGTCACTGACTCTTGACCCCTGAACTCTGCATCACTGTGTCCTGACCTGTGAACTCTGCATCACTGTGTCCTGACCTGTGAACTCTGCATCACTGTGTCCTGACCTCTGACTCCCTACTGGCCTTAGACCTCAGCATCACATACTCCTGACCCCTGCATCCCTCACTACTGACTCCTGACCCCTGCATCCCTCACTACTGACTCCTGACCCCTGCATCCCTCACTACTGACTCCTGACCCCTGCATCCCTCACTACTGACTCCTGACCCCTGCATCCCTCACTACTGACTCCTGACCCCTGCATCCCTCACTACTGACTCCTGACCCCTGCATCCCTCACTACTGACTCCTGACCCCTGCATCCCTCACTACTGACCCCTGACCCCTGCATCCCTCACTACTGACTCCTGACCCCTGCATCCCCTCATTACTGACTCCTGCACTCTGTGTCCCTTTAAGCCTCGGCCAGTATTCAGCGCAATGAAAGCCACGCCCAGTTTTTGCACACAGGCCGGCTGCTTTCCTGACCCGGAGTGGGTTCATGTCATTTCAGATCTTAGCAAAGGCCGGAGCTGGAACTACATATGGATTCAGCACCTGAGTGTCCTTTCCGTAGATAAGACGAGCTATATGATGAGTATGAGAACTCGCACAGCTTAGTGAACGGACCCCGGCGTCCTCACCTTGGGGGGATTCCTCGTCTGCATTAATGATGTCTCTCTTTTATTGCATGCGGGCATTTTGAAAACTGACAGATGGAAATCTTGTGTCCTTTTTTTTTTTGTGTGTTTTAAAGGATAAGTTCACCTTTTAGACATTATTTTGCAGGTAAAAAAAGTGTGCATTTATTATTTTTTGTCCAAAGGAGCCTGGAAAGCATTGCACCATCAATCAGTAGATCACAGATGCCATGCAGGTCTCCTGCAGATCCATCAGTATATCTGCTTGCTGTACGTGGTATACGGGATGTACGGGGATATACTGGGGTGTATGGGGATGTAGGAGGTGTACAGGGATGTACTGGGATGTGCGGGGTGTACGGGGATATACTGGGGTGTATGGGGATGTAGGAGGAGTAACGGTACGGGATGTATGGCGTGTGCGGGGTGTAGGAGGTGTATGGGATGTACAGGGGGTGTAGGGGAATGTATGGGATGTGTGAAGTGTACAGGATGTATGGGACGTGCTGGGTGTATGGGGATGTGTGGGGTGTATGGGATGTGCGGGATTAAGGGTGTAGGTATGTGTGGGGGTGTAGGGATGTAGGGATGTGCAGGATGTATGGGGTGTAGAGATGTAGGAGATGTACGAGGTGTAGGGGATGTACGGGGTGTATGGGATGTAGGAGATGTTCGAGGTGTATGGGGATGTACGGGGTGTAGGGGATGTACGGGGTGTAGGGGATGTACGGGGATGTACGGGGTGTAGGGGATGTACGGGGTGTAGGGGATGTACGAGGTGTAGGGGATGTACGGGGTGTAGGGGATGTACGAGGTGTGGGGGATGAATGTGGTGTATGGGGTGTAGAGATGTAGGAGATGTACGGGATGTATGAGGTGTATGGGATGTACGGGGATGTAGATGTACAAGGTGTAGGGGTTGTACTGGGATGTAGATGTACGAGGTGTATTGGATGTAGGGGGTATATGGGATGTATGGGAATGTAGAAGATGTAGGGGATGTGTGGGGTGTATGGGATGTAGGGGGTGTATGGGATGTAGGGGATGTACGGGGTGTAGGGGATGTACGGGGTGTAGGGGATGTACGGGGTGTAGGGGATGTACGGGGGTGTAGGGGGATGAACGGGGTGTATGGGGGGTGTAGGGGATGTACGGGGTGTAGGGGATGAACGTGGTGTATGGGGATGTAGGGGGTGTAGGGGATGTACGGGGGGTGTAGGGGGGTGTACAGACAAGCAGATATTCTGACAGGAAACTTCAATGAACTGTCCCAGCACTCCCCAGCGCCGTAGTAGTTTCATTGAAGACTACACGGTCACAGCCGCAAAGGCTGCTGGGATTTGTAGGCAGGGCGGGTGGAATATGTAGCGTGTTCCCAAAGGTGAACTTCTCCCTGCACAGCACATACCTAAAGTGGAACTCCAGGCACGATTCATATACATCCCATTAGTCTTGATGGGGGGCGGATAAATAAAGGGTCATTAAAATGCTGGAAAGTTTTCCTTTTCTGGGGGAAAATGCTGCAGCTCGCTTCAGTGCCGGTCACATGTCCAGGAACCCTGGCCTCTTCCTTACATGGTCCCTGATGATGGGAAGGCCAATCTTCTCTATGGTAAAGTCCGAGATTCAGGAAATTCAGAATTTATTGTACGTTTTCAGTAAGAATCATAGAATGAATCTCAGCTGCAGCCCCCCCCCCCCCCCCCGCAATAAAAAAAGAATTCCACGCCCAATCAGCTTTGTCTTTAGATTTGTGGCCATCACTGAAGGGAGCCAACAGAAACGTTTTCTCCAGGAAGGTCCAATTCTTGTGCATTTATTTCAGATTTTTTTTTTAATGAATTGTTATCCAATGGCTGACTTCAACATGGGAGATGAAATGTCTCTTCTCCGCCCAACCCCCAAAGATCCAATCAATCTCAACATATACATTGTGGTGAGGAGCTGGCCTCCCTGGGCTGGGCTCTTGGATCTGCCCCTCCCTCGGTAATGTGTAGCACATCATACTGTTGCAGCCACCTTGTAGTCATCTGGGGGCTGCCTATTAGGGCCGGGACAAGGGGTAGGCAGGAGGAGGCTGCCTATTAGGGCCGGGACAAGGGGAGGGCAGGGGGGGGCTGCCTATTAGGGCCAGGACAAGGGGATGGCAGGAGGGAGTGGCTGCCTGTTAGGGCCGGGACAAGGGGTGACCAGGAGGGGAGGCTGCCCATTA